GGAACTGCTTTATGTGCACTAAACTTCTGTTCTGTTGTAAGTTTCAACCAGTTTCTGATTACTTAAATGGGTTTATGTGTAGCTTCTGTCTCTCGCCATGGAGGTAATTCTATCCTGGCCAGTGGTGAGGCCTCAGCTGAAGTGCTGTGTCCAGTTTTGGAAACAGCACTTTTAAAAAAAAAAAAAAGATGTAGACACATTGGAGATAGCCCAGAGGAAAGCGCCAAGAGTAAGCTTTAGAAAGTGTGAACGGTGAAGAAAGGTTGAAGGAATTAGGTTTGTTTAGTATAGAAAAGAAAAGGGTGAGGGAGGGGACATAAGCCTTTTACTTTGTAAAAGATTATTAGGAAGAGGACAATGATCTATTATTCTCCTTGGCCCCAGAGGGGGTAGGGTAAAAAGTAATTGGCTTAATTTGTGGCAGTGTAGATCTAGGTTAGCTATTAAGAAAAGCTTTCCAACTGTAAGGGTAATTAAACACTAGAACGACTTGGGAATGTTTTTAGGGCCGAGTTAAACACCTATCTTTCAGAGAGATGTCTAGATATATTTGATGCTCCCTCAGTGCAGTGGAATGGATTCCATGTCCTGCTGAGATTTGCTTTCACTCTACCTTTCTTACGATTCTACAGTTTCATCTTGATAGGTGCTTTGCGGTTTTGGCCTTTGAAAAGCAGAGGATCTTCATGTGCAATGTGTTGTATATTTCTGGATTGGATATTATGTACAGAAAACGCATTAGAGAAATGGGAAAGTAATGCAAGTATAGATAAGAGACTGAAGAAATTGCAGGAACTTTGATTCAGTTTTCTGCCTTGTACTAGGAAGTAAAAGGTGATCCTTATGCAACCTTTTTCTTCAGTTCCCGCCCCCCCATTCCAACATTTGAAGTGTGAAAAGAGGTCTGTGCTATATATACAATAAAACAGATATTTTTGAAGAGCACTTTCAAGTTTTCTGTGTTATATATGTTTTTATGTATGGGTTTTGGAGCAGTTATAGGAAACTGCTTTTAAAATACATTTTATGCCCCCCCCTTTTTTTAAGAAAGCTGGCACAGATAGCATACATGTGTCATCCTGTGGTGTAACCTTGCTGGGAGCAAGTCAACATACAGTCAACAATGGATTGCAGCAATAGCTGTTAAGAGCAACAGTCTCTTACCAGAAACATTTTTTTCTGGGAATATTTCTTCTACAGTGTATTCAGATGATGCACCCTACAATAGCAACAGCTGCTTACCATAATCGGGACACTGGCATGTTGCTACTAGTAGACCTAGACTGTAATGTTAATTGCCGATGCCTTGTGTATGTGAGTTATTTTGCTTTTGTTGTCTCTAATAAAGCGAAGGAAGATGGTTATGTCTTCACAAAAGATAAAGCAAAAGGAGGAAGGTATCTCCAACAGTGTTTACTTGCATAATTGGCATGTTATGTGGCTCTTTTTGTTATGAAGGGGACAAAGTATGAAGGAAAACCGTTGATGTTTAGTTTAGCTCAGTACCAAGATAAGAAGTACTCTATGCTTTTCACAACCACAGGGCCTTGTTTATTTCTTATCAACGTTAATTAAAGCCTTGGGCCAATGCTGAGACCCTACCGCTGTCAGGAAGGTGCAGGCCTAATCAAGGTTAAAGCTCATCATTATAGGGAATGGAGAGGTAATTATGAACAAGTCAGATAGTCTGATAATATGGATGTCACTAATTCTTTTGAAATTATGGAAGTTAATTTCTTGTCAGAATTTTTTACTCATTTAATAATGTCATGATTTTGACAATCAGTAGATTATTATTCACTTTGGGGAGTGTGCCTAGAAATCTGAGTTGAGAGAGAGAACTTTTTAATATTGCATGTTGTAATGCAGTACTACAAAGGCAGCTATGGCAGTCATTAGGCACTCAGCAGTAATGTTCATCACTGCCTTGAATATATGTAATTGGGAGCTGGGGAGGGGTTGAAGGTCCAGGGAAGAGAATAATAGTATGGTTGCTGGGCCATTGGGGTTCACTCGTTGTTTCTGTGTTCTTATTCCAGGTAAAAATCAGCAAAAAGAGTAAGATCAAATATTTGCTTGCTTGCCCTTAACAAATACCTGATTTCCCTTTGCTTTCTTGACCTGAAATACATAGCAGTGGTTTTGAAAATGTAAAGCATTGTAGATATCTTTAAAAAATATATTGTGACTTTACTGTGTATGCATTCATAGAGATTGTACCACCTGCCACTGCACTAGTCCTTATAATCTCATGCAAGGGTTTGCTTGTTTTGTATGTTTATATTTAGGTAGAAGACTGTGGGTCAGAGGCAGGAAATGAAGCACTTTGATCTCATTTCACACAAATAATTAACTGTAGCACAGCCATGATTATCCAAATGTCATAGGACAGTGAATATATTTAGATAACCAAGGGATTTTTTCAATGTAATTATGAGGCATTGGAGTAACATGACCCTGTTTTGGATAACAGGGAGATCTGGTTAACTGATGATAGGATAATCAAAGTTGTACTATTTCAGGATGTTGCCACCAAAAATAAAATAAAATAGAAAAAAGGCTTAGGAGTGTATCTGGAGCTACCCCTCTTACATCCCCTTGCTGTATTAGATTACTGTTGACATGATTATAAAAAACAGTTATTTATACTGATTATAAATCATCTATATTTTATATCACAGTGAAATATTTACTATATTTTGACTCTGAGTCTTTTTTTAAAGGCATCTGTTTTCCTTAGACAACAAAAATAACTAGTTTCTTTTTTTAAGTCAACCCAAAAATTATTTTATTTTTTCCTGCAGCCAAAAAAGAAGTGTTACATGGTTTGGTTTTCCTTTTTTAAGGAAAAACCTTTGATATGTGTACAGTATGAGCATTATGACAGAAGATATGTTCATGCAGTCCCCCTTTAGCTTCATTGTCTTGTGTAAGATTAGAACATGAGTACATAAAACAGAATTTCATTTCTTTAGAGTTCATTATAAAAGGGTTTCCACGGTATTGCTCTGATACTGAACTTGTGATTTTTTTTTTTTAACGACTCATGCCACCCTTCAGAAGATGTGAAGATTAAGTATACAATTGCTTAGTATCTTTTACTGAAGTTTCTCCCTCCCCTTTTTTAAACAGGGTAATTTCTGAAAACTCTTCAGCAGTCCTATCTCCATGTAAATTAATACTGTAAATTGTTCAGCTTGTGAGGGTGGAGGGAGTGATAGGGGGAAGAATTAAAATCATTCCAATAAATGGTTTAATTTATGCCTCAGCAGTTAAGCGTGCTCCTGGTTAACAGAAATACCCTTCAGCTACACAGGATTTTGGAGGGTTGGAGGGCACTCATTTGCACATAAATAGCCATTAACTGATAAATTCCCAGAGGTCTCCTGTTGCATGCTAGTGGTTCTGACCTACTTAGCTAGCTTAAATTTGTTTTACAGAATTATTATAATTCCATCCTTGGTACTTAAACTTTGTGATTAATGCATGCCTCACAATACAATTAAAGTATAATTACACAGTTTTACAGTTTGCTATCATGGTGTTATTATTATTACAAAGAGCTGGATTTTGCAAATATTAGAAGAATTAGGGTTCTGATACCCATCACTTTGCTGTTATTAAGTGATTATGTTAAATGGGACCCCTTTATGTCTGAAGAATGAATTGGAGAGAGGGAAATCATTAACTAATGCATCAGATGGTTTATAAGTGATTGAGAAAGAAATGTATGACTGTTTTTTGCTTCACATCCATAGGGTATAAGTGTATAAACCTCTTTGCTCACCTTTACTAACTTTCATGACGTACTTGAGAAAAAAAACTGCGCTTTAGTTTCAAAAATAACTTTGTACAAAATATCTGTTGTAACTGTTAATCATTCACTAGTGCAAACACAGGTTTTCAGGACTTTCAGAGTTTAGGAACAGTTACTGAAATACTTGGATAGAAAAAAAACAGGTTTAATTGACCTGCACAGTGTAAGTTAGGGTGTGCATGCAAAATGGGCACAGAATTCAATTCTCCTCTTTGCTAATCCTGCTGCTGTTCTGTGTGGGACAAGTTTGCCTCTGCTGGGTTGGAGCAGCGTGACGGCGACATTTTTCTAAGTGGCTGTAAATAACCCCAAGGGACAAAATCCACTATTCTTACTGTAGAATAGTGCCACCTTGTTTATTTTCTTTATCTCTGACCATTATCCCTTTTCCCTGTATACTGTGGCAGGAAAGAAGAGTCCTTATACTATCTGAATCTGACATAAACATCTCCTTGGCTGCTTAGCTCTTCTTAGGCCATAATATGTGTGTTCAGAGCCTGTTCATGCTGACGATACAATACAAAGGAACTATACAAGAATCTAGTTCTAAATATTTAAAAGGTTTTGCTCAGTAAATCAAAGGCTCCATTCCCAGTTCTGTCTGATAATTGTCCCCTAATCTGACATGAGTGAGAAATTATATTCCCTTTTCCTTGTGTTGCGTATGTTTGTTACACAGCATTGCACTGTGGTGAAATTTATCATCTGCCACATTTTTCGAATTATGCTTTCAGTCTCCTTTAAAAAGCATGAGGTTCTAAACTTTAAGGAATTTTAGTTAAAGCTTGCAAAGAGCAAACACTAAACAATGAACCAGATGAATGTCACTTCCCCAACATACTTTGAACTATTGTTTTAAGTTTTTGTTTAAGAAGATGAGAAATTAGAAGTACCTGTTGCTTTTGTGTCTGATCCCTTATTAATCAAAATAATTCTTATTTTTAATTCCAGACAACACATGCAGCACAAAGCAGGTAGAAATCTGTTTCTTCTTTAGCACCTGCTTTTACAACAGTAATTTTAGTCTGTGTGTTATGATGCTAGTACAGTGATATAATCTCTGCTTCCAGTATTATGATTTGCTGTCATTGAGCCCAGAAAATATTTGGTCAGTATATTGATGCATGGAAGCATATGAGCAGGTAGGCAGTAATTATGGCTGGAAGAATTTAGTATATTTCAATGCTTCCTACCTCAATATATGTCAATTGGTTTATTCCAAGTCCTTAGAAAAAACATACTGTGTAGAAGTGATTTAAATCATTTTCATGCTGTGGCACAGCAAAAATGCAAAGGCATTACCAGAAAGAAATGGTCAGCATTAAGAGCTGTTTTGCAAGCTGGCTTGCAACAACCACCCCTCTATGAAGAGAAAACAGTTATCCTGTAATAATAAGACTAATGAATTCAGAAATCCATTGATTGTCCTGGCTCTGGGTAGATTATGTGCAGACTTGCTTCAAGGAGAGGAATTTATGAAATGTTTGCCGCATCTAGCAAGCAGTTCTCTTATAATACAGCTGCCTCCTCAGTGGTTTGCTTTGATCCTGTGGAATGAAAGGACAGGAGGATCAGCTCAGGTCTAAATGAGATTACAGCTGGTTCGGCAGCTTATCTGGTCTAATGCCAACTAGTGTGGCTTTGCACGTCCTAAGGGGTTTACAACAGAAACTGTTTATTGAGTATCATCGGTTTACTCAACACAAGCAGGCTAATCCTTCCCAGGCTCAGCATGTTGTAGGATTGTGCATGAGCCAAGGCAAAGCTGGTGTAGCCAGGGCCTCTAGAGCCCTTTGTCTCGCTTCATATTGATTTTTTTTACCTGAGTTAAAGACAGTAAAAATAAAACCAATAACTAGCCCTATTGTGAACAAAAGGTTAATCTGGCCTAAAATCTTACAAAAGCATCTGTTAACCCTAGAGGGGATGGCAGTCTTTCTTTGACATTCCACCCAAGGGATTTTCTATTTTCAAATTTTGAAGAAGATAAGAAAAACAGCTTAAACATTTAACTCCGGATGCCTTGCAAGATCTTTTAAATCTTGTTTAGCAGCTGTGTAATGAAGAGTTTTTGTCTTTTAAATAGTAGATGGAATTGTTTTAGAATAGCTGCCATTATTTCACTATATCAAACTACAAATGAAATGTTGTAGCATCTGGGGACATCTACATGCTAGGGTGCAGTAGCAACAAGCTACGGCGCCATAGTGTTGCTGGGCACAAACCATAATGGAGACACTACTGTACAGTAGTAACCAGCTACTGCACAGTATCGTCTAAAATAAACATGTGGTGATGAGACTGTGCAGTAACACCAGTTACTGCACCCTAGCTTCTTGTGTAGATGCGCCCAGGCAATACAAAATTTGCTTTGTAGTTTGATATAGTGAAGTAATGGCAAGTACTTGGCTAACCAAGTACTAAATGACTGCACAATCCCATCAGTGCATGGTTGTTTTTAGCTCATTACTACTGTTCAGTAGTGTTGTCATCACAGTTTATGCCTGTGCTTAACCAAGTACTAAATGACTGCACAGTAACAACTCCTCAGTCTGCTGCTCCTGTAGACACTGCCTCTGACACACAAATGAAGCATGGTAAGTACTGAGGATGGTGAGTACAAAAAGGGACATTGGAAGCTGACTAGGCTACTGAGTAACACGTTGGGTTATGCTGGTAGCTGCCATGTAGTGCTTTTGTATGGAAATGTTTTGATCAGCACTTTTCTCCAGACATGATGAGTTAGGCTGATCAAGTATTTTAAGAAAACCAGAAATCTAGAACTATAATATTTAGAAAACCATATGCTGCAAGAAGTTCAGAATTTTAAAGAAAAGCCCCTAATAAAAGATTGGCTGTCTGGGGAAGGCCTCTTTTTTTGGAGGATAAAGAAATGTATGCAAGATTATTTAGCCTACAGAAATGTCAAGCAAATCAGGCAAAGGATAGATGTTAGGAAATTCTGCCTAGCAACAAGAGCACCTAAGCATTAGAACTGGCTACCAGAGGAAGCTATTGAACCTCCATCACTAAAGAGGTAGACTTAGACCCTGGTATATAAGGGGTGTTTTAGAAACAATTAAATCACTCTTGCCATGCCCCAGGAGGTTCATCTGTCATTAGTTACTGAAGGCAGACCGAAACTGGGAAACATTTCAAAAGTGCATTAAGCACTATGTAAAAGAAAAAAATGTTAATAGCTTGAGGAGTTTTGATTGGCTACTTTTTGTACTTCACCTAATTGATAATGAACATGTATTTTAAGCTATGTATAAGCAAAAAAAAGTTGCCATGGGTACCATGAAGGTATTTTGAATGTCATATGGTGGATTCGGCTAAAAATAGTGTTTATCTTAAATATGAAGCTTGTCCAATATTTAAACCTAATGGATAAGATGTGTAAAAGTTGAAAATGTAATATTTACCCAATCACTTCTCTTTTATCAAACCTGGTTCTAAAGCAATAGGTTGCACTCATATAGTAATAAATCGTTAGCACATTTGGAGATGAAAGCTATTGTTGGTGATTGCTTAAACTCTCTTTGTTCAATCATCTGAATGGTGCAAATCAAAGCATTTTGTCAGACTGTGAGAAGTTTCGCCTAGATATTGCTTCCCACACATGCAGGTCACCAAATAAATTACGTTCACGGTTTTACAGCATAGCTGGTGCTGAAAGTTAAATTGATGCCCAGTGGTAGAACTCGTAAAACATTTTCCTGTTAACATGACCAGGCAGGGTTGACATTGTTGATGGTGGCTTTGATCTAATAAACCATCAGTTCTAACAGTGATTTTTACTGTGTTTCAGAGGTGATGATGATAAAAGTTTAGCAAGCCTACAGTTCTTCCTGAATGACAGAAAATTAGCTCCACTGTCTATATTACTAGATGCTAGGAACAGTGTTAGTAGGGGATGTTTTGTGCCTAATGTAAACTCCGTCGCTAAGAAGATGTATTACATGAAGAGAATCCTTTAACTCTAACACAATAGATACTCCATAAAGAATAAAATTGATTTTCTAGGGAAGATGTGCAAAATCTTACTTTCTGAAAATTTGGAAAAAAATTGTTGAGTATGCAAGTTTCCTGTCTTCTGATATCTATTTTATCTCCCTGTTTGGGAATATCTTTATCTCTTTGCAGTGTATGGCCCCAAATATGTTACTAGTGAGCACCATTTTACAAATAGACTGTTTGTAAAGACAGCTTTAGGCTGTTTGTAAAGGCAGCTAAAGAGAATCGAAAGTGCTTTGTTTAAAGCAGCTGCTTTTAAAAAAAAAGAGAAAGAAAAAGGACTTGAAGTCCAGATGTAATCCTATTTGTGTGTGTATGTGCACGTGCATGCAAATTTCAATTCCATCAATTTAGGTTTATCTAAAACAAAAAACTCAAAAATTAATTTCTTAGCCCTGCCACCTCGAAAACAGGGAAGTTCCAAAACAGTATATGATTTGTATATATCAGAGGTGTCAAACTCACCAGTCCCCGGGTCAAATCTCATTAAGGGCTCCATGCAGCCTGGATATGGACCTCACAGTGACAGGCAAAGAGCAGTAATATCTGATTGAGGGGCACCAGGGCAAGTGGTGGCAGCGCTGTCAGCACAGCCTTCCACCAAAAGCTGTTCCCAGTGAGGCCCTTGAATTTTGGGGCAGGCCCCACCCCTGAATTCCTAGGCCCACCAGTGTTGCCCAAAAATTTGCTTTAGGTACTGGGTGAAGGAGATTTACGGTACAGGCATAGACACTCATTCCACTCAGGGTACTGAATGTATTGAATACACAAGTAAACAGCTAACTAGAATGTGCTTACATAGCCTTGGCATCAGAGTGAGTTTTCGGAGTTGGTCAAGCTCCAAGGATGTTCTGGGGTTCATTGCTACAATGCTCTATGACCTCTGCTAATAGTTCTTCAGCCTCTGTTGTTTATACTGTATCAGGTTTCTATAGTTCCTGCCTTCTATGTTGGTTTTGGTTAGAGGCTGTTGTTTCAAATCTGTTGCTCTTGCACAAGCAGTAATTGTCCACTCGGTAGTTTTTCTGAACCAGCGTATGCTAACTCAGTGTTGCCATATTGTGCTTACAGCTACCACTAGGAGCCCTGTGGGCCAGATGTTTGACACCCCTAGTATACATAATGTGGGAAGCAGGCATTTACGAGAAAATAACTTCAAGTTTCCTGGGAAAGTGGCTCTGAAATGTTTCTGTTTTTAGTTGTACTTGGATATGCACTCTGCATCTACCGTCAGGTCTTTGTGCAACATACCCTAGGGTTTTATTCAGTCTTCTTTTCTGATATAAATTGTCTATAAGGCCATTAGGGAAGAAAAGACATCACTTCCACAAGCCAGGCTTGAAAAATTTTGTGCGAGAAAGCCTGTCTAGCATCTCTCCAAGCCGTACGATTGGCTTAAGAAAAGACATCACTAGTAAAACTTCCTGCTTGTCGTATATAACCTCCACAACAAGGATGGTACTCAAATCCATGCTTGAATTTGTTCTGCCATGACTCATGCGTTTGTCCACCTTACCTCATGTCCTGCTGGTATTTGGGTCTGGATAAACGGGCAAGTTGACTGAGAGATATGATAATCATAGTGCTGCAGATAAATAGAAGAAACCGTTAGGGGCAAAGGGTGGACTTGATATTAGTTAATTTATTCACAGTAGTTTACCAACCATATGTTGCTTTATAATTAGAAAGATATTATTAGTCCTCTCATTGATTCCAGATGCCCTTTCCACAATAGCAGCGGCAAAGCGCTTCCTCTGACTTTATAGGCCGAGAGGTTGCAACCACATCTTTATAGTGTAAAATATCTGTAAAGTGACAATCCTTTTACTGTGTGTTTATTTAAATACAATATAAATTGGTATGC